TATATAGAGAGAAAGAACTTTTCCATGTATTTTATTCGTAGATTTTCGCAGTTTATGTAGAATGAAAATTTAATACGGTAGATAACTTCTGGAGTTTCATGAAGTTAACTTACAGTCAATAATGTCGATGTACGCCCAATTGAGCGATTTTATGCATCGGAATTTATTGCTCCATTTTAATGATGGCAGCAGTATGCTAGTCGTGCATTCACAAATTTTAGCTTATTGTGCAGTGATGTATTTCTGTTAAATTTTTTATTTTCCTTTTTTTCCAGACTAAATTCGTTGATAAGGACTTCGTCGACTGACGTATTAAATTTGTTATTTTGAATTTCACTTTGCATAATTTTTTACATTTATTATTATATGCATTATAGAGTATTTCAAAAGAGATTTTTGTTTCTTGTTTTTTTTAGATCTACATAGACTACAAACTACAGATTTTTATAAGAGATAAAAGGATAAGTGATTTTCAATCCAAGGATTTTGAAGAAATCCAGCGAATTAAGTTTTGTCTATTTCTTGTTTCCTAAGATCTGTTTGATGGAAATTATACGCCATATTCTATTAATTTATAATCATGAAGACATAGTTTTGTGGTATAAAGTTTGTGGTATATAGTTTTGATAGTTTGTGGTATTACACCGGAATGCTTAATTTTCGTTTTCTCATGTCGAAATATATTTCCTGATTGCAAGCAAGTTGGCATTCGATATTGCTTTAGAAGTTATTACTAGCCCTTTCTCAAAACATTTAAAATAATTGTTCAAAATAAAAGCAGCTGTTTTGAAAAATTGTTTCTTCAAAATGTCGGAGAAATAATGAAGCGTGTTAATGCTGTACATACTTGAATAAGCTTAATAAAATTCCTACTTGCGTAGCATATTATTTGATTACTGTAATATCATATAGATTCATATCAGAATGTCATATATTCGTGGAATTTGTTAATATGTTGATCATCATCCATTAAGATTAGACGATTCGAATGATTGATGAAAATAAATAATGAAACGGCCGGTACTTAATTTAACTTTCAACGGCTGATAATTAATCATTTTTTTGGGAGGTATGTTTAGATATTTGACATATATTTTAAACAAAAATCATTTTGTTCACTTGTTTATTTGCTTCATATGAAAGAGGTTGAATAGCACTTAAAAAGTCCCTTAAAAGTTTAAACGATAATATAACGGATGAATACATCAATGAATATTATTGCATAAGTGATAACATTGCTTGTATTAAATGAATTTTGAAATTATTACAGAGATAAATATCGAGATGATGGAGATATTATGAATGCAAGTTTCAAAACCAATCTGTTAATTTCTGTATCTCAAATGTTGAACTTCTTATTGCATGCTAATTGCTTCTCTTTCTATTCTTATGAATTCTGAATTCTCACTACTAATTTCAGGCTTTATCCCAACTGCTAGAGACATTTGTACATCAAAATGATTGTCATGAAATCATACATTCAAATATTGCTTACGAACTAAACAATCATGTTTCTCTACCATGAGTTAAATCAATTATTGTATTGCGTTATTTTTGAAACAATCAATCAGTTCTGGTTTATATAAAACGATATTTGTAATAAGTAAAAAACCGGAGCCGGAAAGTTTCCATTTTTTTTCTTGCTTGTAAAATTTTCAATTATGGAAATAAATAATTTCAAATTAAAATATTAAAATATAATTTGCGAATTTGTTGGAATATGTGAATCCAAATATTATTTATCGTATCCTGCAAATTTTGGCAATTGTTACTAATTGGAATAAGGTTATTTATTTTGTTGATTTAAGAATGAGCAGTTTGATATTTATCTAAATATTTGTTGGTTATGGCTTTCAGAATTATTCAAATTTTCCACACAGCCGTCAATTCCCAAGGAGGATTTTGAGAGTTAGTTGTTGCGTTGGCATTTTAAAGTTACATCAATAATACGTTATTCTTGGTGTTTCATGATATATGAATTTCATGCAATAAAATGCGTAAATTTGATTTCATGAAATGATCGATTTAGTGACGGAATCTTTATGAAAGGGAAAGAAGATCTAAATAGTTCAAGAGATGAATTTAATAGTTTAATAGATTTATTTGATATTGGAATTCATTTAAACTTAAAGTTTCAAAGTTAACTCAGAGTGTGCATCTTTCTTTCTCCTAATTAAACCTGATATTTTGGGAATTTAAAATTTTTCTTTTATAGATCAAAAAAAAAGAAGAATCTTCAGATGATATTATTTCAGGTTGTAAAAGTGACGAAAGATCGTTTACCTTAAGAAATTGATGAAATTTTAGCAGAATACTGTAATCATGTTATGTATCAATATTTGATGCAAAAAATGAAATACAAATCATTTATTATGCAAAATAAATGCGAAAATTTTAATTAAACAAATTATTATATAATTGTTTGAATGATAAAGGCCTTGTTGCAGAAATAACTGGACAAAAAAAGAAGTAATACTTTTTGCATGTTGCAGTAAATGAGTGCTGCAAGTTGCAAGTAACAAGTATTGTTGCAAACAAAAAGAGAATATTAGATGAATTGTACATTTCATACATACCAATGACGGTTAATTTAGCATCTTATTTTTTCATTAATAGGCACATACAGGTAATGGTGCTCTTTTAGTATGGTGGATAAAAGCGCATTCCAAAATATCATTTCACAAGACTTTATATACAAAGAGGTAAATGACAGACATTATGAAACTTTAGAAATGGTATGCATATATAGCATTACCTAACTTGGCTTGGCCTATGCAATCGATCACTCTTCTAATGCACTCATAAATCTCCTACTCAATTCACAAATATTAGCAATCGAATGAAAAGAATTTTTTCATGCAGAATGGACTATAATGCTGCCGTCTTTTATGAATGCAAATAATAAGTGAAGTGAATCTTAGCATAGGTATGACAATATGTGACAATATTGAATAGTATTATTATTATGGATATATTGTTTAAAGAAGATCCGATCCGTTTCTTCTTGATATATCGAAATCGATAAACATAATAAGATAAACATTTGTTTGTGAAACATTGAGATTAATTTAGCTTCAATTAAAAATATAGTTGAGTATAATTAAGAAAAATTAAAATATGAAAGAGATAATTATGCATTGAAAATTTGAAAATTCATTTCATCCAATATTATTAGATTTTATTTGATGCGAACTAAATAAATATTTCTGTCAATAATATGTCATCTGGAAGGTTTGTCGAAATTCCGGATCATCCTGCACCGAAGCATAGTGAAATTCTCCGCTTTCCTGTTTCAAATGTCGTCTCTTCTTCAAGTAGGCACGTTTGTAGCATAAGTATATTTGAGTAACTACGAAACAACACGCAAACATCAATAGACCACAGGTCAGAAATAGGACCACTGCAATGATAATTGATTCTATATCGGTTCCTATTGGTGTTAGCGGTTTTTTTAGACTCATCCTGAAATAATTGCTGAAAGATTGATTGAAACAGACAAATAGAAAGCTTAAAAATAACTTAAGTCAAATAATCTATACTTCCAAGTAGTAAATGTCTAATTCTAATTATATTCTAAAGTGCAAAATGGAAATGAATTTTGCAAGCATACATATATATAATTTATATTCATTAATATCACATTTGATTTAAAAAATAAATTTTTGCGCAAAATATCATCATATACTTACCACGTGACAGCAATGTCGAATGACAATATACGAATATATCGTTTATATTCTGAGAATAATAATAATATGCTACTGGAAGATTCACAATAAAAAATTTCGTAGAAATCTGATCACTTCTTCAGCCCTATGACAAATGTATGCAGAAAAAATGGCTGTCACTTAATCTCCATTTCTCCATCACGAATTTATTCATCAATAAAAGGCACTTCGAAAGAAGTTTTTAATTCACTCTCCAATATGTTTTATTTTTGTTCCTGTAAATAATTATAGATGTAAGAGTGGGCTAAATTTTATATGTCAATCATGCGTGAGAAATTTGAATATAAATGTGAACTTTCGAAATAAGCCATTTTTAAAAAATGGACATAAAAACCAAAGAAAATAATGATCGTTATCTATACTGTACTCTTAACTACTGCTATCAATGGAATTGATTAAATTGATAATATCAAATTATTGATTGATTTAGTTGAATCAAAAAGCAGCATATCAGATAGCTTTTATTTATCATTTCAATGTATCATAATTCTATCAAAAAACATTTTCATATAAATTTATTTGAGCAATTTTGAATAAAATAAATAATAATTAAATAAACAAAAAATCAATAAAAAGTATATAAATTTGGGTAAAATTTAGGTAAATAAATTTTAGTATTTAATTGATATTTTTTAAGAATAATTATAACAAATTTAACAGCTATAATTTATGAATAAATTACTTTTCTAAAAATGATTTTTTCAAAATTTAAATTTAATTAATTATATAAAAGATTTAATTAATGAAGGTTAAAATTTGGAACAGATCACAAATATGATACGATCAACGAAATATTTATCACAAAAGTTTAATAATAAATTATGATTGAATCAACAAATACAATAAATACATTTGTATTAATAGCATTCTTCATTTCACCATTCTCATATATATAAATGTATAAAGGAAAGTTACTACAAAAAAAGAAGTAAATGATATTAGTTAAAGTATATTGTGGCCTAGGCTTAGGCTAAGGCTAAGAGGAACAAGTGAATAAAATTGATATTTGAATAGTAAAATATAAATGGAAAAAGTTGGATGGAATGAAAGAGGGAGATAATTGAATTTTTTCAATTTTAGTAATGTGTCAATTTTATGCTTGGATCATTAAGCCAGCTATACAATTTTCTTCCATTTTTCTTTATAATAAATTGCATTAAGCGATATGCAATGAATAACAAAATGTCAAAGTTATTATTAACACTCTAATTAATGCTAATAGCATAAACAATTCTGATGAAAGTGCTTTTGACGTTTGTACAATGCAATAATGAAAAGGTGATAAGCGCCAATTGAAGATACTAGATGGATATGTTTAGAAGAAATTATCAAATGAAATTAAGAATATTTCCATATATTATCTCGTTAATATTTACTAGACTTAAAAAGATATGTTTTATAATCAAACTTAGTTCATTTCATTCATTAATTAGGTGTAATATAGAAAGGTGTGATATAGAAAATTAGGTGTGATATAGAAATTTGATGCAATAAAATATTGAAAATTACATTGGTAGAATTGATATGTAATAGTGATATCACTATTATATATGATATCACTATTACATTTGTAATATAATATCACCGAGTTGCAGTATTATTGAAAAAGCTACATGAATAGTAAAGAAGCAAAATTAGATTTTGTTATCGCCTCGTTGATATGCTATTTTAAAATAATAAATTTTAAATGAATTAAAATAATCTTTTTTTGAAATGAAACATTTGAAAGATACTAAAAGTAATAGAAAATGTTAGAAATGAAATTGAATGAGTTCATTAAAGAATTTATTCGTTTCTTCACATAAATAATTTTTTCGATTCATTTTGCAACATTTCGTTGAAATATTTCAATACTTCGATAGTTTTACGATAATATATTTTATAATTTGAAATTCAAACAGAATAGTAAAAACCTGGAAGAATAACTATATCAGTAAATATATTTCATTTTCGAGTAATTATTATTATTAGCTCAATTTATCATATTTCTTTTCTTTTTTTAACCGATTTAAAATTTTCAAAAATAAAGAAGAGAATTTTTATTGGTAAGTAATGGATAGCAAAAATTTGTCGAAACAAAAATGAACAACGATGGGTGGTAGGAACAAACAAAAAAAAGTTCCAATTGCATCAAACATAATTATACTTAAAAGTTCATGTTGGAAATACTCCATTAGAATAGAAAAGCCACATTAACTCTTTCAAATAAATCCAATAAATTGAAATAAAACAAAAGAAGAGAATAGAAAAAAATACAAATTTGTATTTCTATATTAATGATTTCTATATAAGGTTAAATTATATATAACGTGTATTTCTATATAAGGTAAATTATATATAACGTGTATTTCTATATAAGGTTAAATTATATATAACGTGTGTTTCTATATAAGGTTAAATTATATATAACGTGTATTTCTATATAAGGTAAATTATATATAACGTGTATTTCTATATAAGGTTAAATTATATATAACGTGTGTTTCTATATAAGGTTAAATTATATATAACGTGTATTTCTATATAAGGTAAATTATATATAACGTGTATTTCTATATAAGGTTAAATTATATATAACGTGTGTTTCTATATAAGGTTAAATTATATATAACGTGTATTTCTATATAAGGTAAATTATATATAACGTGTATTTCTATATAAGGTTAAATTATATATAACGTGTGTTTCTATATAAGGTTAAATTATATATAACGTGTATTTCTATATAAGGTAAATTATATATAACGTGTATTTCTATATAAGGTTAAATTATATATAACGTGTGTTTCTATATAAGGTTAAATTATATATAACGTGTATTTCTATATAAGGTAAATTATATATAACGTGTATTTCTATATAAGGTTAAATTATATATAACGTGTGTTTCTATATAAGGTTAAATTATATATAACGTGTATTTCTATATAAGGTTAAATTATATATAACGTGTGTTTCTATATAAGGTTAAATTATATATAACGTGTATTTCTATATAAGGTTAAATTATATATAACGTGTGTTTCTATATAAGGTTAAATTATATATAACGTGTATTTCTATATAAGGTTAAATTATATATAACGTGTGTTTCTATATAAGGTTAAATTATATATAACGTGTGTTTCTATATAAGGTAAATTATATATAAGGTGTATTTCTATATAGGGTTGAATTATATATAAGGTGTATTTCTGTATAAGGCTAAATTATCAAAAAGTTTGCTATTCTAAAAAATAAATTTCATATTTTTCTTTTTATACTTTCCGGTGTTATTTCAAATACATTCAGTAAATACTCTAAAAACTTTCTACACTTCCTTAATTGGGAAGAAAATATTTTTGTCTAATTTGATGATTTCAATAATTTGCAACAATTTTTACTGAAATTTAAAAATGAGAAAGAATTCGAATGAAAATGGATGGGATAGGATAGGATAGGATAGGATAGGATAGGATAGAATAGGATAGGATAGGATTAGGATAGTTGATAATCTGCCAGATAGATTTGTTAGTTATTTGATAAATGAAAAAAGCAATGCAAGTGGAAAAAAAGAGTGATAGGAGTGAAATGTGAAATGGAATGAAATGGTAGTACACAAATTGAAATTTGAAGAAATTTCTCTAACAATTGCTTTTCCGCTTAAGGCCCACCTTTATTCAATTGATATTGGTATGATAGATACGACAGCTGATACATTTGCTCACTCAACCTTAACATGAAACTTAGACAATTGCGTAATCAAAGTAATAATTCAAAGTGAAATTACGTAATGAAAATAATAATTCAAAGTGAAATGATTTTGATGCAATGGTATCAATCATTTAGAAATTAATTCAACCAATAAATTATTCTAAAATTAAATTATTAGCAAAACAAAAAAGAATTTAAGCATTTACAGTTTATTTAAAGAAATTAAATCTTTTCAAATTAAAATTTAAATTAATAAAAATTTTTCGAAAAGTTTTATTTAAAATAAATTAGCATTTTTATAACATTAAGAATTTTGTTAATAATAATGTTAATGAAGTAGTAGTAGTAGTAAAGAAAGTAAAGGGAAAAAAATTTTTTCAAGATCCTTTAAATTATCCAAGCAAAATTGTTGATGTATTTGTGGGAAACTTTTAAATATCGATTTTAAGCTGTCTGTTTGTGTATCTGTCTGTCTGTCTGTATCTGTGTGTGTGTGTGTGTGTGTATGTATTTACTAGACAAAAAATTTAAATTTTACCTACAATTGAACAAACATATTTCAAAAGAATGTTTATCGAATTAAAAGTTCTAACAAAGTAATTAATTATTCTTCAAACAATTGTTTTCACATTATTCTTCCAAAAGTTGCATTTTCAGCAATTTATAACAAACGTTGGGAAATGATCGAAAGATATAACATAGCAATGTTTTCTTTAATTTTTTGAAAGTTTTGAAAATTTCAAAGAGAAAATGAAATAACAAAAAAAAGAATGAAATCGAAAAGATTTTCTAATTAAAATAATTTCTTATAATTAATTATGAAATTATTTGTTTTATCATTTAAAATATGCAAATTTGGGATAAATATGTTAGTGTCGTAATTTAGTATTATTGAAAATTATTGTATTTAATGCTATCTGAATTATGCAAATATTTTAATTTTCATTTTTATATCTCTTAATTGAATCATAATTAAAATTCAAATTATTCATTCGTATATAAAAGGATGATATTGTTTTAAAACAAGTAGTTTTTTCCTATTGCTTTAACATGAATAGGCTAATTAGGTTGGTGAGCTAAAATAATTTGATAAGATTAAAAAATGAAAATAGTGGAATTTGGGAAATAGTAATAGTTTTGTTATCAAAATATCAGTGATAATTACTGATGCCAAATGCAAAAACAATGATAATTAGTACTAGTTGTTAGTACTCCTCGATATGGCTTATTTTCTCTTCCCTTCTACTTATGTAAATTTATTCATTAATTATCAATTAATTATGCGACGATTAATTAATTTACATCTCCCCATTTTGCAACAAATAGATTTTTATATGATTTGAATAATGTTTTAAAAAATTATTCTTCTCGTGCATTTCCAACCAAATTTATTTATCCGGAATATTTTAGATGAAATTTATATTATTTCAGGAATGTTATTCCGGATCATTTGCCGAATCTCTCCATTATATATATAATTATATCTCTAAATTGTAATTGTTTTTTTAATCTCTTATAACTTTTAATTTTTAAAACTTAGTTATAATCAATAAATTCTTAATTTTTTCAAACTATTAATCACTACTAATTACTAATTCAAACTACTAATTAAATTGAACAATTTAGATTTGGTAACAAAAAAATTGAACGATTTTTAAAATAATCGATGAATTATTTGATAGAGAAAATTTAATATAATCCTCATAATCCTTAGATTCCACTCTATATTTATTCCGCGATATCTTTGCGAGAAACGTTGAAATCCATTTCATGGAGAATATAGTTCTTAGAATAATGGAATAACTTTATATATTTTCATTCTTGATAAGAGATAACAGATCAAGAGGATCAAAGAGGGTTTAGTACAACTACGTTTGTTTAATACATAATCAAATCTTAGTAGCATCAAGTGTTCCTAACTGACTTTGACGAAATATTCGTTATGAAATGAAATTTTAATAAAATTAAAAAATTAGTTCTGAACAGATGAAATAAATATAAGATGAAATAAATATAAATAGTTGAACAGGTAAAAATTTAATTGATAATTTTGAAATATAAAATGAATATAGTAGTGCATATATTTGTTGAAGATATGAAAAGCAATGAAAACCTCTGTTCAACTGGCAAACAACAATCACCAATTCTCATTGATGCAAATAGAATTAAGCGACAAAATGAAACTAAAAACATCTTTAAACTTATCGGTTTCAACAATGAAGAAAGAAGTGATTTTCGTTTTCTCAACTTTCTTCCTACAGAATGTTAGTCTTTTATGGTGACAGTTGCACCATTCAATATTTCTTTAGTAAAATGGATTTTGTATTGAAAAGAAAGTAAATAATACTAATCTTATATAACTATTAATTAGATGACTGTTCAATCTTAACTAATTAACTAATAGTTATTTCTATCAATTTGCAAAAATATATATTCAACTAAATTTCAAAATTGCTAATTTGTCAGCTTTATACAAGAATAATGATGAATATTTTGGATAAAAAAACTTCTAAGAAAATTACNTTAACTAATTAACTAATAGTTATTTCTATCAATTTGCAAAAATATATATTCAACTAAATTTCAAAATTGCTAATTTGTCAGCTTTATACAAGAATAATGATGAATATTTTGGATAAAAAAACTTCTAAGAAAATTACTGAATATAAATAGAAAAAATAATAAACAATAAATACTGATAATAATGATAATACGAATCCTTCATCGGTGATTTTAACAGAAGTTCAAAATTGTTTAATTATCTGAAATTAAGCCAAATGTTGCAACGATCATTTCATTTAGTATTCAAATACTTTATAAAGTTATTTCTTACATAATAATCTATGCAAATAGCATTAAAATAATATTTGAAGATTAAATTGTTAAAAAGTAATTAAAATTGTTAATATTTCAGTATCAATAACAAATTTTAGTCATGGACCGTGGTTGCAATATAACGGTAAAACTTTTACTTTGTATAAAATTCGATTTATATTCAAATATGGTCTGAAAGGTGGTTTACATCATTTAATAAATTTTGACAAAATGAAAAAACCAGTTGGAGAGGTTTGTATGTCCATTTTTAAATTATAATAGCTATTGTTCAATTTATTCAAATTTGGTTCAGTAAAGTTAAATTTATATTTGCTAAAATGTTGAGAGTTTAAATCATGTCGTGTAATATTGAAACGTTTAGATAGAAAACAAAATTCTCAAAATAATTAATTTTTTGCTTAAATTAATAATTCATAAGTTTGGTTTTTTTTTTTTAGTTGAAATTGGCTTTAGAATAGAAACATTTGATCAATTATATTTGCAATTTATATCGTAGATATGGTAGATAATGCATCGTAGATATATTGTAGATAATGACACAATTACTATGTCCACAAGCTTATCTCTATTTGCTATCATATGTCCAGCATACTATTTCAAGTCTATTTACTAGCTAATTAAATCCGTCAATTAGATATTAATGGAATTCGAATTGTGTCATAATGATAGCAAAAAAAAGCAATACTTCTTCATCTCATCCATATTAGTCCTCAATAATCAAGTAGAGCTAAAAATGTCGAACGATAATAGCAACAATGAAATGATCGATTTTGATGAAATATTTTATGGTTATCCAATCCCGAAAAATTCGCCTGATCAAAGTTATTTATTCTGAAAGAAAAAATTTTCTTCTCTTCTTCATTTAGTTTAACATTACTAAACTCAAACTATAGTGATGATATTATTGAAATAACAAGACATATCGATAGAACAGTCAAGAAACGGGTCACTTTAGTTAATCGATAGTATAGTGATATTTTAGAAAAGTTGAGAATGGTACAAAGTATGAATGATCTTGAAAAAAAAATTGAAATGAATTACTAACTGGCAATTTGTGTTAAATATATTTATTTATAGCATTTATATCTGTCTAGAAAACAAAAATATAAATGCACTAGTAAAGAAAGATACAAATATAAGAATGAGCAAAGAAATAAGTGGAACATTTGAAATATTAATTTTTTTTAACAATTTTGGCCATAAGATTATTATCATCATTAATCATTTTTATTATCTTCAGAATCACTATCGAAAGGAATTCAACTTCCGGTACGCTTGAGACACTTCATACCATATTCATTCACTGGTGCAATATCGTATGTTGGCTCATTCATTGAGGGAGATTGCCTTGAAGGTGTAACTTACTTGATCTTCGACACCCCGATCGCCATAAAGCCTGTTTGTTCAATTCTGCTTCTTTTATTTTAGGAAAATTTGTTCAGAAATGAATTCAGTTTTCGCATTTCGAATTAAGGATAAAATTTAATGCTGCTCTAATTGATATTATCAACAAATATTATAGCAATAATAAATTGGACTGTAGCTTAGGCAAGCACTCAACGGTTAAAAAAGATTACATAGCTTAGATTATCGATATTCCATCCGATAAGTAAATGATTCAGTTTGATGATTAGTTTTGTGAATCCTGAGACAAATGCAGCGGCATCGCTCAGAAATCAAATGAAAGACCGATATTCTAATTGACCGAATGAAGAGTCTCGGCAAAACGGATGATCCGTCATAGGGTCTATTCTTATCAAATTTAGCATAATTAGTTTAGTCTGATATATTTTAATTACTCCTTGATTTGAACTTATTCATAGGAGAAGCAGGCTTAATTTATTCCGTTAAATTTTTAAAGGTTTCATAAAATAATACCTTTTCTTACACTGAAAATCGATCAAATCATATTGCTGTTAATCAATAGTTAACATTTTCAGGGGCTACATCTGATAAGATTTTACTCCAGCATCAATTCAACACGTCCCATACAAGATATTCGACCAGCACGATATTATATGCCGTCAAATATAGAATTTTTAGAGGATGAATACGAAGACAATAAATTTTGTCCAAGTGCCCGGGCTCAGACCAATGATAAGCCTTCTGCAGATGCAAGTTTAGGTATAAAATTCCTTCATCTATACAAGTATAAAGAATCGGAAAGAGTAGTCATATTATTGCACATGATCTCGAGATTATTGCTCCATGCAACTTCAAATTCAAATTAATCTCTGTTGTCCCCACTTGATTATCATCATAATGTTTCTTTTTACATGCGCTGAAAATCACAGGACAATTTACAACCCAGGTTTTCCACTTCTCTGCAGTGACTGGGGTCGCATGTAGTCCTCAGAGATGTTTGCATATGGAAAGCAACTACTGTCTAAGTTTCAATTTCTTTTTCCGTTTTTGAATAAGAAGAGAGGATTCGATATTCCAGATATCTCTCAAGATATTCATGATTTATTCGATGAAAAAAGTTTGGGTGAAACGATACTGCCCAAACTGCCAATTATCGTAAGTGCGGGAAAAGGACGACTCGTTTCGTCGCATTTATTGTTATTCATTCTTAACATTGTAGTTATTTTTTTAACTTGTGAAATAAATGATCTTTAATTTTGTGGGAAATAGATACCAATGAATTGAGAGCAACAAAATAGTAAGCCAATGTAAGAAAGACGGAGAAGAAAAATCACACTATGTTCACTTTTCTTGAAACCAAATAGAAATTACTGTAAATTATGATGGAATAAATCGAACCGAACAAACACATCGGAGTTATATGATGATGTCTTCCATAACAACGAAATGAAGAAAAACCTTTCAGGTCTTTCACATCATACAAAACAATTGGATGAAATGATCCAAATAATTTATTGGGGGCAAATAAAAACCATATAATAGTGAATATATTCAAAAGAAAATACCTAAGTATATACAAGCTCACTTGGAAAGCTTAATTGCACAGGTCCTAATAATTCAGAACTGTCACAATACCACCACTAATGCATATGTCATCCGTCATCCATCACCTTGTCAGCTGGCCACCTTGTCCTGATGTTCCTGGCATTCCCTTGCCGCCTCCAGATGTTCAGTAATTCCCAGATGGACGATGTTTTGAAGTGAGCGAAATGCACATATGGGTTTGATTTGTCCTGATAGTTCTGGCGTCGTAATCACTTGGCAATAAAGTTGCGCACTGCAGGAACTTTTCCAAAGAAGAAATAGGAACTACGCAGCAGTAGTTCTTCTTTGGAAAACTGCAATTAATTGTAAATGATTAAGTTGAAGTTGAAAAATTAGAACTTATAGAATACCAAAAAACGGTGTTTTTTTCTCAGCTACAGTAGCGATGAATATTTCCAATGAATACTCATCGTATCATCTAATTGCATTCACAAGCTTGTTTCTGTTTGATGTTAGAGAAAAGCTTAATTTATCGAGGAAAATTTTGAACATATCTGCTCATCTTGCTTATATTATATTTATTTTATTATTTCTGTTATTAAGTAGAAGTGGTGATTTGATTAGTAAAAATTATTTTTCAAATGATAATACAGTTTCCTCTGTTTGAAACAATGCTTAATTTCATTGAATTTAAATTTGTTTTCAGGCAAAAAAATGGATAATCTGGTAGAAGATGGAATCGATACTGTCCGAGGTGTAGTGACCGACAGACAAAATGAGAGTGATGTAGGCAGTGTGGAAATGTATAAAAAGTTGGTTTGGGAGTACGAATTGAGCCGAGGAAGATGGGTCAAGTATGAAAATGCTATCAACAGGAAGTTGAAGTAATTTTTCCTCATATTGCTTTTAAATTATTGAGAGAAAGTAAAATACTTAGGAAACGCGGTGCAAATACGATTTATGAATGTTTGATAACGGTATTCACGTAAGATGTCAAAAGCAAAATATGTCATGTACTGCACAGGTTAATATTTGTTTTATTTATGAGAATGTACAATTTTTTGCTGGTATCGAACTGTATTAAATAAGTAAAGTTATTCTTCAGTCCATAATTTCCTTTCTTCTTTTCTTTTGTCTCATTTAAAATCGCTGAGATTTATTCCCTCTTAATAGTGAAATATTTCGTATCTAATTATTACTCAGTAGGGGTGGTTTCATAGTATCCTCCATTATTATTTGTTTATTTTATTTATTTATTTTATTTGTTTATTTTATTTGTTTATTTTTTTTATTTATGAAAACAAAAATCTTTAACTTGGTTGATAGTTGATATCATTAAACTGGGATATTTTCTTCTAATCAAATTAGCTATCATTTAAATTTACCTAAATTGGCAGCTATCATTTAGCTATCATTTTTTTTATTTATCATTTAGCTATCATTTGGCAGCTATCATTTAGCTATCAATTGGCAGCTATCATTTAGCTATCATTTAAATTTACCTAAATTTTAGCGAGGGCATCGTAAGCGGTGTTACGGAGTTTGAAATGGACGAATCTAAATTACAAGTCGATTTCAACTTAATGAAACAAAAAAATTTGGATACGGGTTTTGTTCGATCCGTAAGATGTGCTATTCGAAATGATGAAGGTAAATTACTACCGGCAATTAAAAATTTTTCCTTTGTATTTTGAATTTTGTCATATTTTGTTGCAGGTGTTGATCGTGTCTGGGAATATATTGATTCGAAAAGACGTTGGCGAAGTGTGGACCCATTATCTACTATAACATTAGAAAATGCCTTCGTTAATGGGTCCGGAAATGTTAAAATAGTGTTATCAGGAACAAATTTTATAGCTGATTTCGACAGTAATCTAATTAGAAGTGACGACGAATTGATGGAATATGAAGTGAGCAGAAATCTGTTTCCATCTGAAGTCTTTATGAAAAAAATTGAATACTTTCAGTTATTAATTTATCGAGTAAATTTCGTCCTGGTTAGGAAGTTTCTTTATTACTTCGATTATAATATTAGATCCGATCGCGCATCTCGAATGCAGACCCCTCGATGTTAGCAAAACCAGTACCAAGGATCGAACGTCTTCGAGCAGTAAAGCGTATTGCAGCAAGAACCCATATCTCTTCAACTGAAAATAAGCGAAAGGTTAGATAACAAGGCTTCAATATTTTTCATGTTTGCAAGCGAGAAGCGGTATAGCTAAAATAGCTTTGGGGTACGGAGTAAGATCGAAATGTCTCTCTATAGTGTTTTCTAATGGCATCGATTACTTTGGTGAAGTTCCTAGTCTGATTAATTTACTAAGTCATTCGTCATTGAAAGGAACAAGTATATTTTTATTAGTCTTTATAAGTAATAAAATATAGCATATGTTACCGTTTTAGACTATATAGGAATTTCTAAATACGGATCAATTTGACAAATCGTCAAAATTACAGGTAATGAGGGAGAAAAATGACAAAAGTGATACTAATGGAGATAGCGATAACAATGAGAAACAAATTAGAGAATCAAAAAGAATTCGTAGAAAAGAAAATAGTACTTCTGAAATGCAGAAAACAAATGACTCGAATAGCAGTACTGATAAAGGCGAGTTTCTGAGGAATGTATTAAATAGATCATTAGGCATTGTCATTGTTGCATTAAAACAATATAAATGTATCAAAAAATAAAATGTGCCTGTTTTAATTCCACTTGGAGTAGATCAGACCTCAATCAAATCAACATCACTTTATTGATATCGAAGTAGTGCTTTAAGTATCCAGAAAAGAGTGTTGTGACTATAAATTCTGAGGATAACCGATTTTTTCAGCATTCATTCAAATTATACTTTTAATCAAAAGTATATTTGCTTACATTTTAATATTTTACCAGTAGAGATATTTCAGATAATAGGAGTGATTTGAAGAAAGTTATATTAAAAGGCGTTGCAGCTGTGGATCCTGAATGTCATGAACTAGTTGGCACTGCACATGTTTATACTGAATTCAATGATGTTTATGATGCCTTGTTAAATCAGGTTGCGTAATTAAACTGCTTATATACGATTTTTCGACTGAGTTATTTCTAAGAAACAAAAAATTAAAAATGTGAATCAGATTTTCCGCTTTTTAGGACAGATTCTTCTTTACACATGTAATATTAATGCTCTCGAGTTTTGTTTCAGACCAGTGCACAATACAATAACAATAAATATTTTATCATACAGCTGTTAGAAAGTGATGTTGAAAAGCGCTATTGGGTTTGGTTTCATTGGGGGCGCGTTGGTTACAAAGTTTGTTTTATGGATTGCTTTTGATTTCTGATTTTATTGATGTCTATTATTCAATGATATGCTTGTATTTTCAGTATAAATTCCGTAGTGCCTTAAAAGAATCAAAATAATTGAAAAGAGGACTTTGATTTCATACGTCGTGTTATGCGGTTGTTTATCAGGCAGTAGCTTAAGGCACTACGGAATTTCTTTTCGAAATTTGCATAAATTTTCCTATCCAGCTAAATGATGTATTTAGGGACAAACCAGTCTGAATCCATGTGGTACAGATTTAGCAAAAGCGAAGGAATTATTTTGTGACAAGTTCAAGAACAAAACGAGAAATGACTGGGCGGAAAGAACCAGTTTCGAAAAAGTAGTTGGCAAATACGACTATTTGCCTGTTCGTTTCTTTAAATTCAAACCATGTTTAAAAGTAAAGACAAATGTTCTAGCCGATTTTAAATAATAAACTGTATTTTCAAGAATGATTATTCGAAAGTAATAGAAAAGAAAAAGAATGAAAATGATACTGAAGAGACAAAAGAAGTGGAATCAAAACTTGATCCCTATCTGCAACATTTATTAAACATTATTTGTGATATAAGAGCAATGGAAGAAACGATGACGGAATTGGAATATGATGCTACTAAAGCACCTCTGGGTAGGAAATCTTCATCTTTTTTATGGGATAAACACCACTAATGTATTATTGATCAGCTATTTTTATTATATTAATTTTATTATATTAGTTTTAGTTTTTCGTATTAGTTTTATTTCAATTTAATCACTACTGTAGTTAATACAACCGTAAATATTGAACTGCAAAATTTTTTGTTGTTTTCAGGGAAAGTGACTGACGAACAAATTAAGGCGGGATATGCAGCGTTGACAAAAATTGAAGAGCATATTAAGAAAAAGAATTTTTCGTCGGGTTTTGTAGAAGCTGTCAATAATTATTACACAAAAATACCTCATTTCTTTGGGTAATTACTTTTACTTAAAATGGTACTTCAAAAATTCAGTGTAGCATAATCTGATGCATCAGATATGACCTGCATAAACGTTCGAGGTCCTAACATCCTCTCCGGCTATTTCATTTTCTTTGGGTTCGCTGACGTTAGGTTTCAAGTTCTGGTATTCATTATACTGTCATCGAATTCCTCATTGTGTTTGCAGGATGCGTCAGCCGCTTATGATTAAGACAGTAGAGCAATTGCAAGCTGAAATTAAATTGTTGGAGGCTTTGAGCGAAATCGAAGTAGCAATACGGACATTTAAGAGGGAGGGAGATGTCAATGTTCATCCAATCGATCGTCATTACATGAATATGAAGTGCAAAATATCTATCCTTAGTGCAAGTGATCCTAAGTATAAGGTATTTTTGACAGTTTTAAACAAAATGCTCAAGTCGAAGTTATGTTTATCGTGGAGAATGAATGAGTCGATTTCAATCATTCTCTTCTTGATGAACTTTGAGTAAATGGAATGGTTTTTTGATTGAAGAAAACGGTCTATAAGAAGGGAGTATACCTTTGAAAAATAGTGTCACCCACCGAAAATGATCATTTTGATTGTCATCTACCTGTCCACTTTTTACAACACAGATTGTGGATAATTACCTTCAATGGACGCATGCTCCAACACATAACATGTATCGTATGCGCATTCGTAACTTATACGCGGTAAATCGAGATGGAGAACAAGAACAGTTCATGTTCGATATTGGCAACAGGTTTAAATCGGCTTGTTTTTTTTTATCTGAAGAAGCAGCAAGGCAATCCAGTTTTATTTAATTCTTTGTTCAATGTTGTTTTAATCGAAGAAGTCGCAGTGCGCGAGTCGAAACAAGAAATAAGAAATCATTTCTTTGTTTTTCTTCTTGGCTTTGTTAAAAAGTTCATTTTTCATTCTACTAATGGTTTTTTTTGCTCAGATGAAATGTAGGTTTTTCCAAAGCAGAAAAAAATTTCAGGAAATTATTATGGCATGGATCTCGACTAACAAATTGGTATAGTATCTTATCTCAAGGACTACGAATTGCTCCATCAGAAGCTCCTGCGGTAGACTTTGATAATCATTTCCTACAAGTTTTATATTCCTTTATTACTTTTTTCCTCCTATAATAGATCTAGTTGGGATAAAGTACATTTTTGACTTTCGTTTCAGACCGGCTACATGTTTGGTAAGGGTATTTATTTTGCCGATATGTCAACAAAATCAGCCAATTATTGCTATCCACAACAAAATAAACCTGGTTTTTTGGTATTGGCACAAGTCGCATTGGGAGAAATGAACGAATTACTACAAAGCGACTTTCATGCCGATAAGCTTCCTGCAGGAAAAAACAGTACCAAGGGTTTAGGTTCAATTGGTCCTGATCCGGCTACATACGTCACTTTGTAAGATTCCACACCGTTATTTTACTAATTTTTATTGTGGGAATTCGCTTGATATTTTTGAAGACTATATATATATGACTCATATACATATTAGTTCACTAATCTTTCGGCAATGCAATATACCTCATAACCTGTTTAGTGATGCGTCCATAATCTTTTGCAGAAGCCTGGAAAAGATTAGTAATGACATGCATTAAACTGTTTTGTGTAATTTTCCTGCTATTTAGATTAATAAATTAATTTGCTGCTTAACTCAGAAATTTTGATCTGTTTGCAGAGACGGCTGTGAAGTACTTTGTGGTAAGCCAATCTCACTACAACGAAAAGACGAAGATTCTTCCCTCATGTATAACGAATACATTGTTTACGATGTAAAGCAAGTTTGGATTCGTTATCTCATTGAAATTGATTTCATTTTTGACTAAGTTATGGATTTAGTTATCCACATATTTGTTTGAATGTAAACCGTTTTGAAGAATTTTTTAGCTCTTTATCGAGTCTTTAAGCAGTGCATGTTTTCTGACCTTAGTTTTTAGTAGGTCTTCGTTTTAAATGCTGTTATTGTTCTCATATCTATTAACTAAATTACGGATTGTTAATGCTTGAACTTATTGGGTCACGCAGTATGGATTTTGAAAAAGGTAATCCGTATTTACCGAGTAGAAAGGTCCATACTAGAGGGTTCGTTGCTAGAAATTAAAGTTTTTTATTTAACCGGAGAAAAAAGCATTCTGATGATGCAGGTGAACAAAATAAAGATTTTTTTCTTGTGGAATAAAGTGCTTTCTCAATAAAATTATGAGGCTGACTTGATGATTTAAAATGATTGGTATCACATCCTATTTATTACTATTAATTCAAAAGAACTTGTTGTACACGCAATACCGAAGATATTTTATCCATGTGTAGTTATGAACTTAAATATGTTTGGAAAGAACTATGGGAATCTCTTCTATGGAAATTTATTTTTTCCCGAATAGGTTCATAAAGTCTTTTTGTAGATTAATTTTAAAATAGAAAAGGAAATAGTTTACGTTGAAAATTTTCACGAAACAAAGCGAGGTTTTACTGCTTACCTTGTTGAGACAAGTGCTTTCTACTTCTTACCTTTTTTTGGCCAAAGGTTTGCATTGTAATACTGATCTTATATGCATTCATTCACGCCATTCACGCTTATATATCCGTTTGCAGGTAATGTAATAGGAAAGAAAGAAGAAAACATGGCTGATTTTGATGATTTTGGTTTATTAGCGCAAATAGCACGGCGTGAGTTAATCCATTTGCTGGAATCGATGCCTGAGGTAAAAGATTTGGCAGTGGAGCCAAGTTTAATGCGACCACTGGACAAAATTGCATCGATGTCTATGTTACAAAAACATAACTGTGCTCGCGTACAACAATTTCAACATCATTCGAATCTTACATGGAGTGAACATGCACTACGCCGTGTATACATTATACGCCCAACGCTAGCTATAGCAAAACGTATAGCGGAGCACATTTTAGCCGAACCAGAACGAAACTATTCAGCGATATTCGTTCCACAACGATTGTATATTTGTGAGCAAGAATTTGAACGTTGTGGAGTTTTTGGTATGGTTGATGTGTTAGAGCTAGAATTACCACTTATTAGCATCGATGCGCATTTGTTCAGCTTAGAACATCATGAATTTACAGTGGCAACATTGGTGGATCGTACATTCATTCATCTTCGTGCAGTTGCTAAATCACTTTGGCAATTGCAAACACTTTATGGATTGATACCAGTTGTTTATGGCGTTGGAGAAAATAGTGCGCATGTAAACAAACTGATGAAGAAATTGCATACTGAACTAGGTGAACCACGCTCATCACCTGATCAGCCTATTGGTCATCTATTCCTCTTCGATCGAAGTCTGGATTTGGCAACTGTTCTTCTCACTGGTTTAACATATGAATCAATGGTACATGATACCTTCGGGATAAGCTGTGGCAAGGTAGTATTTGGTGAAGAAGTGAACAAGCGTATGAAAAGTGGTAGTATAAGTCGATCCAAGATTACCACTTTGGATAACAATGATCCTATTTTTTCCGCTGTGCGAAATATGCATATGACTGCTGTTTTTCCATTCTTAAGTGCTAAGGCAAAATCTCTTCAGGCAAGTTACGACAAAGGTTCTAATCTGGAACAAGTAAAAGATATGAAAGAATTTGTATCCAATGAATTACAAACCCTTAAGCAGCAGCATAAATTGTTAGAGTTGCATATTTGCGCCTGTGAAGTGGTTCTGGAAAAGTGTAAAGGGATCTCGGATCGACTTACTCTGGAGCATGCATTGATTTCAGGGAATTTTGATCCTAACGAGGTGATGGCATATCTGGAAGATTCTATGTGTGCCCAACGTGATCAATGGCAAATTCTCTTGCTGGCTTGTCTGTGGTCTCTTACTCAAAATGGTATCCCAACCAAATATTTCATCCAATTTCGGAACCAATATCTGTATGCTTTTGGCCACGAAAATCTTGGAGTACTACATTTCCTTGGTATTCAGGGTCTCTTGATAGAGCGTTCCACACCGCAACTATCAACTGTACATACTGCTATTCCAATGAAACCTCACGCAGCATCATCATTTTCTAAGCCAACATTTCAATTTTTAGCACGACGTATGACTCTGCTTCCAGGTGATACCGAATCAGCAATGGATCTCCGAAATCCGAACCAAATGCGATACGTTTTTTCAGGTGTCTATACACCTATCCTATGTAAAATAGTTAGTGATACAGTGAACAATGGATGGAATATGCAAGAAATGAAGGCAACTTTTGGTGATTCGGTTTTCTGCGATCAAAACTCCTATACTCATGCAAATCGCCCACTTGATAGTCGCATCCGGAAAGCAATTTTGGTTTATTTTGTAGGTGGTGTAACATATTCGGAGATTGCTGCACTAACACTTCTCGCGCAATACAATAATTTGCGTATTATCATCGCTGCCACAAATATCATTCATCGTGAAAAATTCATAAAAGAAATCGCAAATGTTTCTGTTACACCTTTCTAAGATGAATGATTCAAATGTCTCATGTAAATGACTAAGCTTATACCGGTGACTATTTATTCATGCAATCTCTGTGTTTTTTAATTTAACCACACAAAGAAATTAAATTAACATGTTTTAAATTATTCGAATTTCGGAACAGATGAATATTGTTAATCGATTGGAAATTTCTTTTGAAAAATCATTTAAAATGACGATTTCATTGCATTTTTGCGGTCGTTTTGGCTGAATTCTATTTTATGGACTGTTTTTCATTTAATTAGCAAATATTGCGAAATTTAAAGCATACAATGACATTCTGCTGTGTTCTTCAATTTGAAACATTTGTTCTTTTAAGCTCTTCAAAATTGACTGTTAACTTAGCAATGCGGGGAAATGTGTAAATATCTTGAAGGAACGTATTAGAATATAATATCAAACTTTTTTCTGTTGAGCTCGATCATGGAAAGCTAAAATGTCGTGGAGTTGCATCATCTGTCGCCCTAAACTGTCATTTTACTAAACAGTTCATGTGATTTTCCCGAGAGGAAATTTTTTTATTGCTTGAATTAAAGTTGATTTGAGATTTCAGAGATCTGACGGTAACTTTCAAGCATCAAATTATCATACAATAAAATGACCCTCACTTTGTTGTGTTTGCTATTACTTTGTCGATCGTTCGAATACACTCATTATTTTGAAGTTATAATTTTATAATAGTTAATGTCGATTGTATTTGCTTTTGTTTTACACAATGTATCCTGTTTTTTTCCAAATTGTAATATTTCTCAGATTGACCATTTCAATGACCTTTCACTTTTCCTACAAAAGTTACAGAATGAAGTGTTAGTAAAAAGCTAGGCTTATGAGTTATATATTACTGAAATCATTTTCTGGGAAAAAAAAAGGAATATAAGAGATAATACTTGGTAGCTTAATATAAGGAGTGTAGATTATAGCATATATCCTAACTGGATTATGATTTAAAGGATTTTTGTGGTCATTACCACATCTTCACTCTGATATTCGTTTGGTTTCATGTAAACTGTTGCAGAAGAAAATGCGGATCGTCTGTTATTTTCATTGAAAAGGTTCAAATCTATTAATTTCAAATGAATTTCAGTTATATTAGAATTTAATTCATTTTGTGTGAAACATGCAAACAGTCTTATTTTAATGAAAATATGGGAATTCGCAGGCATGCATTTTTGTAGAAGGATTAAATTTTTCACTTTCTCTTTCCATTTGTTTAAAAAATGACCTAAAGATACAAGTCTAAAACATCCGAACTTCACGTACGTTAAATTTGCATTATATCTCTAGAGAGTATATCAACTTTACGCTTCGCTTCAAGTATTGAAAGTAATCTTTGCAAGTTTTTACAAAGCAATCTTCCTGAAATGGCAATAGATGGTAAAGTCTAGTGATAAACAATTAGTGAACACAAGGTAAATGAAGTTAACAATACTTTTTAGTTTACAATTACACTTCTTTGGGGAAACCAGCTGATGAATTGAAGTCAATAATGATTGTTCTCTCGTATGTGCTATGTTTTCCACAATGCCGGTTTTTTTTTAATACAGTAGCAATTATATAATTTATCGCAGGAGTTGTTGAAAATTAATGCTCGTCTCTGTTAAAGTAAGCAAGCAACGTGTTAATTTTGATTTCTCACTTTATAATTACATATTTTTCTAGATGAAATCGTATGTTTGGATGATGATAATTGAAATGGTTGGCAACAATTCTACAACGTTATCATATTTCCGGGTCTTGCTAGTCAGTGTTTTTATCATCCCGAAAAAATTAGTCTATCAAAATGATTTATTAGTAATTAAGAGAATAACCGGTAGTAAGTAGCATATAAAGACGAAAAACATATTTCAATCTCGAATCACTTACATTTTTTATCTTGCATCAATTATTTAGAAATAAAATTTTTTCATAATGACATAACATTACTACGTTCCAGAGGGATGATCGATATTGTGTCAATGCTGTTGAATTAGAGAAGCAGTGAGTTGTAATGAAAAATTAAAGCTTTGATATATGCTTACTAACAAAGTTTCTGCGAATAAATTAAGTTTTAACTATGCAATTACGTTCAGTTGTCATTACCATTTTTGATCAGAATACATTCTTTGCTGTACTGACTTATTACAACTATAAAATGTTGAATACGATTAAAAAAATGTCATCGAGAATTTTCCAGCGATATCGATGGACTTACGAATTTTATAGCTAGTGTTTATTTATTAGCTAAAGTTTACGATTTGTGAACAATTTATTATTGTTTTTGAACTTTACTTTTTATAAGGACGAAATGATCTGTTTATTTATATAATAACTGAACTGCTGTTTCTATAAATGCTGATGCAGGAAGTGTAGTAAAGTTAAGTCTTTTTTTCTGCATGAATTTGTAAAGTTGAAGTTTATTCTATATCTCGAATATCTTTTAATCTCATCCTTCTTGTTACTTTTTGATTTTTATTGATATATCAATTAACAAACAACTTAAACTCATTTGCATTTCCAGCAATTAGTAGTCTTTGAACCACAGAATTCTTTTCAGGGATTTTTCTTTATGGAATTCAAGGGATAATTCTGTTAAATTCTGAAAAAGACTGAACGGTAGGATTTCTGATAGAATTTTTTTTTGATTTCTGATTAATTAAAATTTTAATGCTGATAGTGCTAATCGATTTCTGATTTCTGATTAATGAAATTCTAGTGCCAATAGTTTATACTTAAGGCGAAGCCAGCATGGATAAGTTGTTGGCGAAGTAATCCGTTCTTAACGAATTGTAAAACATGAATAAAAAAAAGGTGCTGCATAAAAGTTTGGAATCTTAAAACTTCCAAATTCTTGTAAAAATAAAACTTGAAAGCTTTTATAACATAAATTACAATTTCATTGATTTCCAAGTGAGGGCCAATTGATGTGTTTATTGGCATAGTGGATTCGACTGATGCGGAATATGATGGATTCACTCTTGTTTTACACCATCCTCTTATTGTTGCGTAAGTTTCATCTTGCTTTTTTATCAATCCTTCAATTGTGATAAGTTTTTAAGTTCACCGTGTTATATTTTACACTTCGTGTGTTTTCTACTTTTTCGATATTTTTTTACTAGGTATTAAAGGAAAGATTTACTAATTATGGACAACAAATTTTCATTTCATTTATCATTTCCACGCTAAATGACTGGGTATTTTTGATAATTTATGGAAAATTTTTAAACATTATATTTTATGCAATAGTAAAATATTTCAATGTTGTATTCTTTCCATTGATATAAATCAATTTTTAAGATTATATTTCGTCTGATGCAACAGAATTGATATCAGATGATAAGCCAGTAATAAGAGCATCATCAATTTCGGGATTATTAGTAAGATGTTATGAAAATGAAGAAATCTGCGAAAAGGAATGTTCTTTTACATGTCATTCCACCGATTATTGTAACGATTCACCATTATCAAAAGTTGCATGCGCTCCTCCTCTGACTTTGTAAGTCGCTTTCATCAAAATTTAACGAGTGAGTAAGCTCGAAATCTATCAAGATAAAAATTTTAAAAACATAATTTCTCGATAATGAATGGAGGGAAAGAGATTTGTCTACTTCTGGGAATACTCCGCTATAAGTTTTACGGTTGTTATACGTATTTTTTCAACTAAAACATTTTAAAATTTTTTAATGTAAATAACGAAGTCAAATGTCTAGATTAAAAACTTCTACGAGAGAGATTGCAGAATGGTACTTGTGACATTTGGATTTATTCTGTTCATTGCATGCTGTTGCTGTTGCGTTTGCATAAGCGTTCCAATTTTGTTATGTTATAAAAGCTTGCGGAAATGGCAAGCAAAACGAAGGAGTAGACGAATGTTTGCATGATATTTGTTGCATTTTAAAATGCCTTTTTAACATTATGTATTTATATATATATACATTCTAAAGTTTCACCAGTTTATTTTTTCTTCTTACGCTTCAGTAATGTATATGACGAGAATAATCTCATCTAGTTATTGGTATGAAGTGTCGTAATGTCTTCATTACACTGATACTAGAGCAGATTGTACAGGAGATGTGTGCTGAATATCCGGTTAGTCAATGAACTCTACGATTCAGATCCCAACTGAAGAAATGGTATAAATAGAATAGAAAGAGAAAATGCATAATTGTATCAAATCCATCGAGTATATATATACATACTGCCCAAACTGTGATTTCCTTTGCTTTTGAGCATTTTTATAAATGGAATTTTGAAGGAATATGGTATCAATTATTTTTTGTCCAAATGTATACAAAAATTTTTCACGAAACTTCACATTTCAGAAGTATTATGACCATAGCATGATCACGGTATGTTTAGGATGCATTGATAGAATGACCTTAAGATGTTGATGTGACTCTCCATTACTGTGTATTTCGCACATTGGTTATTTAGAGGGATATGACCAATGATGGCCATTATATTTTTGATGGATATTTTTTTATTATATTAGCAATCATTTTTCTAGAAGGATTACTAATAGAATTAAAGTTTTCCACCGAGTTTTGCTTATTCTCAAATTAATTTTTGATGAATATATTAACTTTTACGAGGTACCCAACCATGAATACGAAGTCTTTTTGATGCAAATAATTACAATCTTTTTATCCTTTTATCTTTTGAAGAAAAAACACCAAAATTGTAAAAACTGGTACTAGATTACGTTAGTACGTTTTACCGCTACTTGACTGCTGTTTTCATCATTTCTTCTTTTTAAAATTTGATGAACTGACTTTAGAATTATTTATAAAAATAATGAATAGCGTGCTCAACATTTTTAAAGATTTCTTTCTTCTTGGCTTGCTTACTTGTTTTATATTGCTATTTGTTATCTCCGATTAAAATTTGAATCTCGTATCAAATGAATCCCGAGAACAAATATTCCGTAATATATTTAACACAAACATTCAAGAAATGAAAGGTGCAATCTGTTCAGTCTTTGAAAACTTTTCGACATACGTGAATATGTGGGATAAAGTCCGACCAATTATTATTATTATAAAAGGAGCTGGGATAACAAGATTCATGCAGTACGAGATGAGTTTCGAATTGCATAAAGATGCTTGGGAGTTCTGAAATCGGTTATACTGTAAAACATCTTTATTTAAAATTGAGAAATATGGGAAGGAACTAAATAAGGTACCAATTCCTCTCTAAGATTGATTATTTCGTTAGTTTATTCAAGAGACTACAAAATTTTCTGATCATCATAAAATTTGAATGTAAGCTTCGAAACAGTACAAATACTACAACGAGGTAAACATAGTGATGACATCTTTGATCACGAAGTATCCCATCATGAAGGATTGATAGGGAATTAACTGATACAAGAAAATTTCCAAAGAGTACTAATATAAGCGTAATTCCAGCAAAACTATTAAGTGGCATTTTCTACTTTAACGCAGTACAAACGATATCACAGACTTGATTTCCCATCAGAAAAGGTTCGTTCAATCAAGCGGTCATAGGAATGAGTTCGTCTCTAAGCATGTTAATACATTGAAATTTGTACTAAACTGTGATGAATTTGCTGCCTTCACTGATAGCCATGCGTTATTATGAATAAAGGATACAATTCGTTAACGATACATTTCGTCATCTTCTTTCAGCCCATATAAAAAATTTTTGTCGTTATTCAGTTTCTTTTTTATTTTTACGATAGTTTCGATACTCTGGTTTTAATTCCCACATCGATTTGTGTGGTGGCATTGTATTGTATACAGCGATTTCCGTTAATATTTCTTTAACAAATCCCTAAAAATGAAAATTAGAAAAATTATTGGAAATCGAAGTTCAGGAGAGAAATAATGTGAAGTAACAGGAGAGAAATAATTCTATGTTAGTTATTAATTACCACTAAGTACAAAAAAGATGACTAGTGCACAAAATAAGCCAGAGACGCAGTAAGTGTAATCAGAACAGGGTAAAAATTCAATCTTGCCTTTCAGAAGGATCATGGATTGAGAACAAAATAAACAAGAGGTCAAATCAAAAAGTGAAAATAGTGTGGATACTAAAAAACAGGAAAAATCTGAGAAATGCTTATTAGAAATACGAATAAAACGAACCGGAGGTTGATTAGTAAGTTTCTGCAAATCGATTAATCGATAGTACTGATGTTTTTCAAAAGCATGGAACATTGCTTGTCGAACAATATCCTTGTCAGCACGAACTGTCTTCGCCCCTTCCTTCTTTTGCTTTTCTCTGGCTAACTGAAAGAAAACAAGGAACTGAAATGCCTTTACCGTAAGATACCGAACCTTTATGCATGGGATACTAAACAAAATTTTTTAATTTATGAAACAATTTTTTGTAGTATGGAAAATTGCAGTAATTTGAAAGACTTGTAGAAGCAAACCATTTCCGCATGAACAGCAATAGGCTTGAATTTCACTTCAGCTTTTTCCATTTGTTTTACATGTCGTTTTGGCTGACAGCTCCTCTCTATTTGTTTTCTGTAAAATTCCAAAATTTCTATAGTGAATAAAAAATGGTTGACTTCATAGATTACGCAATCTTGGCTTTCATGATGGTAAGTGATTCTACTGTTTAGAAACGGTTCTCCTTTTAGAAGACCTTTCTATATAAACTATATTACGTGAAACTATATTTTTCAAAAAATTTTATAGATCCTTCAGTCTATTATTCATTGAAAATGCAATATAAAGAAAAACATTTTATATGGTATTATTCAAAGGCATGTACTCTGCATTTCGACATTAGTTGGCAATACTAATGATGTATAGAAGGCATATTTATACAAACAAAATTCTCACGTTAAAATATTCACAACAAATTAAAAAAATTTGCAAACTGTACATTTTCATTCGCATATAATCAGCTGTTTGAGGAGGCCTGCAATCGGCTCTTTTGACGACCCGCCCTTCAATGCTTAAGCGACCGGAACATATGTCAGCATCTTCATTCAAGCCACTTTTATCTAAATAATTCAAGAGTCAATAAAACAAAACGTGAATCTTGAAAGGAAGGAATGGAGTGAACTTTACATGAATCGAAAGTCTAAAATCATTATTATGAATATAGGTGTAACGAAAACCTTCGCAGAGCACCGCTAGCGATTGATTCCTAATATCGCCGATAACAAAACTGTGTTCATTTGGTATTGTGAAATCTGACTGTTTACTTTTTGTGGAATCAATTCGATTATTGCGTGATGAGCTCAAAAATGAGTCCGATGATGAGGCGTCTCTATCATGAACTAAATGAATCTCAATTAACTAAATTTAACTCAATATTTGATCACATCCACATCTACACCCAACATCTAAAAAGTGGATGACATGAACTGAGATCACATCCACATCTACACCCAACATCTAAAAAGTGGATGACATGAACTGAGGAAAAGGTGATTATTATATTAAAAACACACTGATCTCAGTGTCACACTTGTCACAGCATATAAATTTCCATATATCTGGAAATTTAAAGCAGAAAAAGAAACTTTAGAACGATGAGGAAACAAGTCAATAAATAAGCAGAGCATCAAAACCTGATGAATTCGCTTCAAGCAAATTTGTGTTGCTTTTAAATATCAAATCAGTTTTTCCATTTGCTGCCTTGATTATTAATCGTCCAACATCATGACCGACATTCTTCTCCCACATTTCAGACAAATATCTCGGTACCTAAAAATTCATGTCACATGCTATGAAAACATGTGCAGCATAAGAATGGATGTCTTAATAAGAGAAAAAAGAATAAAAATATTATTTAGATTGAGCACTACATGATAACGTAATTTAGATAAGCAGAATTCATGACTGCCCAGAAATAAAGACAAAAACGATCGAAAAAGTGTACAGGTTCTCGTACACTTCTATTGAATTCTATTTCACTAAGATAATCGTCAGAATGATCGTGAGAGGGGATAATGTCAGTGTCAAATCATTTCATCCCAACCAAGTTCCACTACGAGATGATTAACCAGTCATTCATACCCAGTTACTATTATTTAACAATTCAGATGTCAACATCAACATAAATGTTATCGATATCTTACTTTAAATGAAAACCATTGAATGTTACCTTCACAAGCCACACTCCTCGCTTTGCGCAATCACTATCAACGTGATCACTAAATTTCCGCTTACCTTTGGAAGTCATTCTGCTGAAATTTAGAATAAATGATTAAATGAAATCCTTCAAGGATTAAGCAGTTTTACAGGTATTTTTCTTCAGAAAATTCTGAACATGCCCTAACAAGTGACACAATAAACATAAATTTCGTAACTACTCTACATACAACATGTTCCTATCAAACACCTTACAAAGCCCAAAGCACCAACACCAACATATAAATTACCCTTCTTTAAAGAACTAGTCCTAATTATTAAGATCGAGCTCTACAATAAAACATGCTGATATGAAGCTTAAAATATTTCAAGAATAATTACAAGCTTCAAAATCGCACTTTAATTCAACTTCTTTACTAAACATCAACAAAACTAACTTAAAAAATATACTACAAGGAAAAGAATGAAAGAAAACAATAATCAACCTACAAATGGAATATTCAAATGAAATGCAGAATAAATACAACTTAAAAATAACCATCTAACACAATAGTAGCAAATGTCTAGTTCCGTTGGATCACTATACGAAGTCTAACTAAGCAAACAATAGAGCTCAATTTCGTGAGAAAATATCAGCTGAGATCACCAGGAATATTAAGACGATATAACTCGTGAAATAAGAATCCAATACATCAGCATAGTACAGCATCCTATTTATTTTACTAACAACAGAAAGTTTGACAATATTAAAGCACTGTTCCAAATCCCAGACTTTCCCAGAGCTATTTAAACATAATTGGAAATTGAGGACTTAAATCACAGAATAATGAAAAACCAACTAAAATTAAAGGATTTCATCGGAAAATATACAAAGTAAAATAACAATACTAACTAAACTACTCTAAGTAATCTTCAAAATTTTACAAGGTTTTCATCAAAACACATATAAATGATGGCAAGGGAATCAAAACATTCGCGGTAACCTTTTAGTCCACTTTTCGCTCCTCCCGCCTTTTCTTTTGTAACTGCGAAAGAAGTGAAAATATAAGTTACACAATTCAGAACTATTCGGAATGCCATCATCTATCAATACATCTGCCATTCACTTATTATTGACTCCCAGTTAGCTATCATTATTTATATGGATAGTGTGCACAAAAAAATAAGAGATAAATGAGGAAATGTACAGTAAATAGTAAATTCGCAAAGGATTCAATCTTTCTATATTATCAAATAGGAAAATGAAATAAATTAGATGTACATGTTTTAGAAAATTTATAATCCGTTTTTCTGACTTGATTTTATGATGAAAATACGAAAAAAATACCGAAAAAAGAAACGGGATAAGTGTTCTTAGTGCAAGTATAAGCTGCATTCGTGGTAAAAACTATTCATTATTACAATAAACTTAATGAAGGGTGGAAATGAGTAATGAAGTTAGCTAACATTTAACGTCTATTATGCAATAAGAAATTAGCCGCTTCAGAAGCATCATTGCCACACTGCTGTAAAGCTTCTCTGACATCTTCCCGAGATCCAAGACCCATATCCACGAGCTGACGCACTTGATCTTCGCTAGACGCTGCTCTCCCTAAACATACCAGGAATAGATAAGCCATTTATCCTTTACTACAAAAACTCAGATTGAATGCATATTTGCTGACATAATTTTTAAAAATTCCGATCAAGAAAAATAATCCGAAATTTTTGCATATACCCATTTCTTGGTACATAACAGCATTTTCTATAAATATCGGAAAAAAATCTGAAAAAAATACCGTTGGATGTCCTGCCCAACAAGCGATTCAAAAAATGAAGTTGACTGCCACTTGGACGATCCTGAAACTGTCTTGTCTTGTAATCGGTTCTGGGACTCTGACTTAATTTTTGTTTTTCTTTGAATTCGAGCATTTTTAAACACATTTTGTTCGAGAATGAATACGAAATACAATTTTCCACTTATATTATTTATAAAGAAAGTTGTGACGCTCCATGTAATTTAATCATAGGCAAAGAGGTACGATAATTAATGTTGGGACGTGCAAGTCCATTCCAAGCGTACAATTTTTAAAGTGCCTAATTCATTTTAACGAGATGTCGACTTCATCAACACCAAATCAAGTTCAATGCTTAACCCATATGTCGAAACTAAAGTCAATTCATGGGAGTATACCGAATTTTCAAAGCTACCACATATAAAATACCAAATTACAAGCAATGATCTAAAATATCTACAGAAATTATAAAATGTATCTTACTCTTTCACTTCTGTAAATTCGCTCCATCTGCCCAAACATTAACCTCCTTTCGTAGTTATCTAGAATATCTATCCTTTGCCTCTCAATCGTTGCTGCTACCGGTAAAACACTTCCCTGCAAAAATTTACTCATAAATTTAACAAAATCTTACAAAATCGTACGATCCAATTTGCAAAGTTGTGCAAATAATGCAAAGTTAGGTTAGTTACAATTCTTTTATATTTCGAGAAAATAACCTCTCTTCCAAATTCACCACACTCGGCAAATTTCTGGAACAGCCAACCAATTGGATTTGAAGCAGAATAAAACAACCGAACAAAAAAATCAGGCAAGAAATTAATTTTTGCAAAGAGCTGTAGATATAAAAGGACACTTGAAGCACCCGCTGCGCATGCAATCAAAACCGGCTTCGATAACGTAAGCAGCTAAAATAAACAAGAGCTGAAAATGATTTTACTATGTAACCATAAAGAACAGTCAGAAACACTGAAGTCAAAAATGTGTGCTACAAGTAGTACCGTATAGTTTTAGCTTAAACAATTTCTCGGTTGTTGCACAACTATAAATAGTAATATTGATATCTCTATCGAAGATCTTTAAAACGGATTTCTTAGAAATGGATATATCGGAGCATATGAACAAAAGTATCATACTGAACATACTGAACAACTAGTAACTTTGATCACTTATCTGCGATTTGAGTTTTCATTAGAATTAAAATTAGTAACAGAAAATAACCTGAATAAACATAATGAACGGAAAGCTGTGTGCTGATAATGATACACCGAATATACTAGCATATGGAACTAATGGTATCTCCTTCAGATATGATAGATATAGAGCAGTGAGCAAATCATACGGTCCAATAACAAAATACATAGTTGATGGGATATAACCATAAAGCCGTGAAAGAATAAAATAAATAGCTATCTCCATAGCGGTTGCATGGAAAGAACTGAATAAGATAAAGTTCTGCAATTATTGATTTATGATTAATTTATGGCATCTAATTATACCCAGATATGAACAGAGAATTGAAATTTTTACTTGGTAAAGACCCACTAAGTCTTTGTTGTAGTGATGGCGTTCAATACAGAAGATTACATCCTCTGATTGACCTGTTTTTATCGATATGGTACCACGGTACTACAAAAGCTTACTCTGTTCTATAGCCCTTTGTGGTCCAAATTCGTCTCTAGGACGGAGTTGCATAACCAGTGCACTGTTTTTAATTTTAATGATTAGATGGCAATATTATAATTTGGGCGCATAATATAAAACACAAATACGTTACCATAAATTTACAGGAACCGAAGCGGCGTTCCACCAATCGACCGTGATATAACAAGATCAATCCACTAATAAGTGACGATGGACTTCGGAAAACTAGTTTTGATAAAATTATCTGCAAAATCTAAAAGTGCTTTGAATTATTGTTACCATCGAATTAATTAACATTAATGACAACTAATTTCTACTAGCAAACTAAATTTTATCAGTTACACTAGACAATGCATAATGCATCCTTAATGAGGATATACAAAGACATGCATGCTTTTTCAAGTGCTTACCCCTTTAACGGAGGTTATATTCCCCAACGATGGAGCAATCCAAGAATCGAAATCATTAATACTTAAATACATGGAGACAATGGAACTGACCAATGTGATCAACAACCTAAAATTACATAAATTTTGAAAACTTTTCGCCCAAATAAATTTTCCAGCGTATAGCCATCTTAGCAAAGTCTTTATTCCTTTTGGTCATTAATAACCAGCAAAATGACTTTTAAGCCATTAAACGATGTTGAAAAATAATGATAAATGAAGTGAATTTAATAGCATGAATCCATGAAAATTGTATCCCAAAACAGGTACCCCAAAATTAAACCCGTCTTATTTCGCCCTTCTGATCAGTTCTGTGAAATTTATTATATTCTTAACTTGATAAAAGCTGAATTGCATAACAGACGTGAAAGAAATCAACAGTCCTGCCAATAAAAAATCGATTTCAAATCAAAAATTTCGAAAAATTCCCAATGAAATCAAAAATGAAGAAGTTATTACCACGCTTTTGTGATTGGCGCATGCCTGAATAAGTCTCGGTTTTGCATTTGATATTGTCCTCTCCTTGAATGAATCATATCTGAAATGATAAAATTCACTGCAGCACGTACTCTTCTAATATGCCTACAACGCCTACAATGCCTTAAGAAAAACGGAATCAGAAGTACATGGAAATCAGCAATACAACACAGATGTTTAGATATTTGAAAGTCACATACTACATAAGTACCAACTACTAAATTGTATTCTAAAGTCTTAAACACATTTTCAATTTATCTAATTTCTCCTCACTTTATCATGTAATGAAGTTTAATCTCCATCACTAATAGGGGAAATCTTTTGCAAGTATTATTATAGAATTTTTCAATAAAATTCCAAATATTACAAAACTTTTGCAGTCTCGTTGAAAAGTTTCTCCTTTCCAACAAGTAACTCAAATGTGGTAGGAACTCCAATCAGTTTTGTAACAGCCACGAATTCCGGAATTCGGGAATTATCATGCACCATCCACAGAACGAGAATTGATGAGTACTAGGAGAATAAAAATTGGGGAGTTAAATAATTTCATAGCGATACTTAGCAGTGAAACATAAATCCGTAAGGGCGGCAGCGTGTTATGTCAAAGCTGTTGCAGTGGCAAATGAAAAGATAGGGGAATGTAGGGGGAAAATTTGGGGTGGAGGGGAGGGGGTAGGGGAAGGGAAGAGATGGAGAGTTTAAGATCATGAAAGTTTTTGAACTAAAAATTATTCGTTGAAAATTTGAATGTAGATTGCAATCGAAATATCTTACCGTCGTTGACTTGATTCGGAGAGAGAAAGCAGGATAAAATGACGTACAGCGAGAGGTTAGGACCGGCAACTTCATCGTCTACATCGTCAACGCAAATAGACAGCCGAGTGGTTATGCATACTGTTGTTCCATTACCTGAATGTCCACATTTGGTCGAGGTATTTTTATTACTATTTTTCAAAATAATGGCTTGTGTTTTAGAAACTAAATTTTAGTCAAAGTTTTTGGAATCGTTTAGATTAATATTGTAAAAGCCTGAAATGTGGTGAAGTGTTCACCTGGATAAGCAGGCAGAGTCATCATTGACTCAAATACAATGTTTGTTTTAGGAAGTGATGTAGTTTTTCGGGCTTTAGATTGAATTCTTATCGTAATTATTTCTTTGATTCTTTTGAATTATAGAAGTATGCGGAAAATACAGAATGGGAAAAAGAGAATGATTCATGAAAATAGATTCCTCTTCACATTTTTGCTGAGTCGAAAATTCAATTTGAATCAAAAGGAACCATCCGTGCAGTATACTGCAACAGGAATTTTTATTTTCAGTGATCCTTTAGATTCATGTCAGATATGTGAAAATTATTTACTGAGATCTTCAGAAACTATTTGCATAATTCTATAAATTTTGATGAAAATTAGAGTTCTGTTTTTCTTTAATAATCTTTATTATCATTGTTATTGATTATTTCCTTTGAAATGATAAGTCTAATCTGGCATCATCTAACTGTTATTAAAGTTGTGCATCCGAAAAAAATTCATTATGATGGTCCATGTTGTTTGCAATTTAATTCTTTTTCAGAAGTTATTACTCTCCGTCCCCATCAACTATAATTTCAGATTAGAGAACTTCCTGCTGAAGGTGTTGATGCATTAGCATGTTGTTCAGAATGCCGTTCCAATGTGGAACAGTGGGTCTGCCTAACTTGCTATTCGGTTCGTATTTGTACTTTCTGTATAGAGGAAGCATGATTATCTGGGAAAGTTGGCATTATCATACTAGCCTAGCATCAACGAAAGATTTTCGAGTTGCAAAATATATGACAATAATTATTTGCATTGTCTACTTTATACTGAATTGATCACTGCTAGGATTTCCAAAAATAAACATTGTGGTCTGGATGATTGTTCTGTCTAATATGTATGAAGTGTATAAAGATGGACTTCTTTTATTTCAGGTTAACTGTGGCCGTTACATTGCTGGTCATGCAGTGCATCATCAGATGCGTACTGGTCATTCAATGGTACTGAGTTTAGCCGATCTTTCGGTGTGGTGTTATCCTTGTGAATCATACGTTCACCATGAAATACTAATTCCTGCAAAAAGTGCAGCACATCAATCAAAATTTGGCGTTCCTATTCCAGAACAAGGAAGACCGGAATCTGAGAACCCTGGGAGTTGATTAATCCTTACTTTTTTTTGATAGATAATTAATTTTGAACTAAGATTTGTTCATTTTGCTCTTTTTTCCTTTCTTCGTTCAGTAAGATTTGAAACCATTTAAAGATGTCGTTTTTAGAATTCTTGAAATATAAGTTGTAGAAAGTACTTCTTTTTCTACTTCATCTCAAAAATTCGTCACATGTTTTTTCCAATTTTTTTCGTCTTCATTTTGCATCTTCCTGCCATAGCTTTGTTATTATTATATATAATTATGTATATAATAGCGATGAATTTCTTATTCCCTCTTGATTTGCTGTAGTCGGATTGTGAAGCATTCGGAAATCGAGGAAGAATGTATCGAAACCTACGAGAAGGCTTTTGTTGTTTTGAAATCTTCAAGTTTTGCTTCAGAGCTGATACAGTATTTGCTTTGTATGTATAACCGAAGGCAAAAGTATTCAGTCCATGATCTATATAATTTTACACTTCTGTGGTTGTCATAATCTCTNAAGGCTTTTGTTGTTTTGAAATCTTCAAGTTTTGCTTCAGAGCTGATACAGTATTTGCTTTGTATGTATAACCGAAGGCAAAAGTATTCAGTCCATGATCTATATAATTTTACACTTCTGTGGTTGTCATAATCTCTTTGTTATTTTCAACATCCACTTACTACTTTTCCTACATGCTTCATATGTGGGCAGTTGAGGAAGTGAAATTTTCGATTATATAGACAAAGAACGAAAATTTTTCGTAAAACTAAGGTTATCCTTTTCGTCTGTGTAATTTTCTAAATCTTCAATTTATGCTGTTGCATTTTTGTAAATGTATTACTGACCGGTCATCTATCCTGAAAATGTATTTGTAGTTTGAAAATTTATTCCTCTCAAATTTTTTTAATAAGATTTATAGCTTTATAAATCCTTGTTCGTTTATATGACATATGTGAAAGATATATTAGAGAAAAGTGTCTTATTACCGCATGTTACATTACTATTTATGCATTGCTTGCATTGCTACTGAATCATAAACAAGGTCATCTGTTTTTTTGGATTTCATGCCTCACATAACGATCATCGCAAGGGATTCGGATTATATTCTGCGAACTTGTGTGTTGCTGATAAAAAAGATCATTCAAAAGAAAAAAACATTAAATGAAATTCCATCAAGGGAACTCATCGTTATCTTGATTTGCGATATTTTTTTCTTATCAACTAATAAATTGCAAGAGACAAAAATATCTTTCATCGTCTGGCCTTGTCCCGCAAATCATACTGAGAATTTGTGCAGTATTGAATAGACGTGCCGATCATGCATATGAGATTGGCATTGTTAACTTTGGGAAATGATATTTTTATAGGAAGAGTTTGCTTTACTAGTTAGATTGTGCAACATGCAAACCACCATGTAAATATATTAATAAGTAAATAAGCAGATGGTAGATAAACTAAATAAGCAGATGGCAGATAAGCCGTGCTAACAACAAATTTTGTTGCTGAAGAGAATAGAAATGAATCAATTGCGATCCGAATAAAATATCCTAAAAATAAACAGAAGTCTTACCCCTATTTCATAATTTCTTTACTCTACTCAAAGTAAGCAGCTGGACGTAAAGGTAATTCAATCATGTTCATATTAATTTTATCTAATTATACATCCAGTTTATGAGGAGGAAAAAAAATAACTGCATCAATATTTATTATAGTATTATGTGGTATAATTCAGATGAGATAAGATTAAGCAATAAATTATATAGCAAATGCAAATGTTGATCATTAATAATTAATGATAAGATTAACATGTTGCTATGAATGAGTTAGTTTCTTAATTTTAATTAGTTAGCATTCCATTTTACAGTTATAAATTAGCTAGATAATAAAGTTTCAAAATATATTCAGATAAGTTTCAGATTATAATGATTACCTTAAGCCTAGAGGTATGTTATGTTCGTTGCCTGGGTGACCGTTTTTCGACAGGTATGAAAAGCTTTGTTTAACTGCTGCCAAGCATTTCTGACTCTCAACATTTCATCAAGCATTTTTATTGACTATCCATTAATGCTGCGTTAGCAGAAATTGTTATGTAAAGTTTCTTTCATAAGATGAAAAAAGCGCATATATCATTTTGTTGAATTGTTTAACTATAACTGAAAATGATAATATAATTTCAGATGGGATACTCAATAATTCTTTTTAAGTATTAATTTTAATTATACAATTATCATTTCTTTGTCTCAGCTCCTTTTCTTTCTTTTTTGTTTTAAATTTGTGATTTAAATAGAATTCTTTTTAAGGATATTTCACTTGTCAGTTTAAATTTGAATAAAGAAAAAGTATTAGTTTCAAAATAAAACTTTAGTGTATTCGAAATATTAAACATTACAAATTACGTTATTCTTAAATTAGATTTATGTCATATTTGAATAATTTTCTTTTTTGGAATTTTAGATAATATCTTATAATAATTACATTGTTTCACATTCATTCACTAATTGCATTCGTCCACTTTACTTCCTCAATAACAATAAAATTTGAAGTTGTTTTTATCATTCAACTACCTTTCTGATATCACTTTTAATTATAATATTCTGAAACATCTTTATTGCTGCAAATTCTTCCTATGTTTCTTTTTCATTTGAAAATTACGAGCCTAGTTATTGGTTTTGTTAATTTCTTAAAAGTGAGCCAAGGATAAATGTTTACGGAATTTATCACTTTATTATAGTTGCCGAATCAATATCGCTAGATTGAAATGAACCAAACAGTATTGTTTGTTTTTCATTTGAAAATCACTAGCCTAATTATTGACTTTGTTAATTTCTTGAAAATGAGCCAAGAAAAATGTTTACGGAATATATCACTTAATTATAATTATAGAATCAATATCGCTAAATTGAAATGAACCAAACAATATATAGTAATTTCTGAAATTTCGAAATATTTTTTTTCAGTTTAAGTAATGCGTTTAAAGTAATATATTGAAAGTAGAAAATGTGCGTTTTATCGATACATAATGAAGCAACGACAACGGAAACAATTCGGTTCAACAGGAAATCTTGTCATAAAAGGTAAATTTCCTCATGAAAGGTTTCTTAAAACAAAATGGTCTATTTATTTACTATTATCTTCCGTTTTATTTTTTTTATTCCAATATTACTATAAACACTTTATTCAGCTAGCTAATTCCGGTTCATTCCAAATACTAAATTACTCAGCTAGCTAATTCCGGTTCATTCCAAATACTAAATCACTCAGCTAGCTAATTTTGGTTCATTCTAAATACTAAATTATAGTGTTAGTACTTGGAAGTATTATATATTCTCCGTGCATTTTTATCAAGCCTAGGATATTTGTAGGCTTCACAATATATTTGTTCAATATTTTAAAGCAACAATTTTTATCATTTACCAGTGAAATGAATTGAATGTTTATAGATGATAATTCTTAGTTCTTTTGTATGCATTAATATACATATATTTATCATTAGGATATATTAAAGAATGTTCTATCTAATTTAGTAATATTTTAATAAATGTAATTCTTGTGTTAATTATTGCTAAAAATAATAAATGGATCAATTTTTTAAATTCCTTTGCTCATTCATTGTTACTTCTCGAATAGGATTATTATAAAATTTAATCAAATCTTAGGGATGAAAAATTTGTAAAATTTTTTAGGTACAGGTTATATGGGTTTCGATAATACATCATGCCATAGGCTACAAAGTGCTCTACCATCTGCAACAATGATGCCACGAAGAGCAGCTACACGTCGGACAATGTCCACATCTACAACCATCACAAAAACTGCGCTTCGAAAAAGTGGTAGCATTGGTAATATCCGCAATGCGATCACTTCCTCAACACCACCTATTAAAACTGCTCTAAAAGAGTAAATTTTTAACTTCCCACAAAAATTCACATTTAAATATTCAATGGAGTTCTCAAATGTTGCAAATATTTGTTAACATTCAGAACAAGAGGATATCCAGATCAACAAAATGATGTTGTCCAACCAGCAGCTCATTTACAAGAACAATATGCAAGACAATTGCAACAACAAATTTATCTTTTGGAGCTTGAAAATGATTACTTGTAAGTTTGAATTTATTATCTCAGAAATGTACTTCAACTTAATCTCAATCTAAACTTTGCTTGCTTTAAGAGTTTTTTCTCCCCTTTATTTACGACTGATAATTATTCTACTGCAATTCGATCTGTATCTGCTTGACGTAAAGGCTATTACTGTTATTGTTGTTGTGGTTGCAACTGCATTTGCAGAAGATCTTCTGTTATCCGGAAAAAAGCATGAAATTCAGTAGCTTCTGAAAATTTTCTGCATGATTGGTTGATTGATTAAAATCTTGCAGGAAGCATAGTGCCGGAAAGGCATCTCGAAAAAACGATAAAAATGATGATTCATATCACAGCGATACTTCACCGTCTCCAAGTTTGACCATAAATTTAGATGTATCACGAGAACAAGAATCATCTCGAGCTGATATTCCGGATGATGATAAAGAGGAGAAGCCATGGAGAATAAGAAAGAGAGTTTCGTATGCTCAACCGGAGGTTACGGAAACATGCATTTCTTCAAATAATTATGATGTAAAACCATCTTCATATACAACTGATCAAGCTGAATTATTGCAGAAACTAGAAGAATCATATCAGGTATTTCATTTATTATCCAATTAATTAACATTTTACAATATAATTTGTTATTTAATGCTTGTTTGCTCTATCCAATACAAACAAATGACAGTTAATATAAGCAATAATAATTAAATATTATTTCCGGTACTTAATTTCATTCATTACTTTTTACGGATGATGCCTTCCAAAGTTGATAATCGAATTCAAATTAGTGACACTTTTTTAGAGGGAACGAAAAATGGAGGAACGTTTAAAACAAAAAACAACTGAAATTGAGAGGATTGCCTATGAAAATACTCAATTATCTGATTACATCGAAGAGTTGAGTGCAAAATTGCAAAAAAGTGAAGGTTTGTAACCATTTTATGATATCTATCCTTTATTGCATTCCCGACATTGGTCAATGATAAAAATATTGCATTTGATCCATTCCCTTGCTAATAGTTCACAGCAATTAGTTTTAATGAGGAATTGTTTGAAGTTTATTTTGTCATACTATTAACAATAATACGTAGTTCTTACTTCTTATAATATGCCTTATGATCTTACCAACCTTTCGAAGTTGATTCTTATGAAGGTAGACGTTTTTTAGTAATGCAACTATCACTTTAACGATTTTTGTATTAACTTTTTAAACAATTAGAAAATTTTGGATGTTGTATTGGTTGAAATTTATTACGAGCTAAGTTTGAAAAATAAACATCCATTTTTAACGAAGGTAACTTTTTTTTAAGGAATCTTAATTAGGCCTTCTCGTCTAAACTTTATTGTTTCATCAAAGTTTTTTACCAAAGACACATACATGCGTGATTAGAACTAAATTTAAAAATTAACTTTGAAATCACCAAATGTATTTAAGAAAATTTTGCAAGAGACAAACGTGCATTGATGGAAGAAGTGGTGGAACTACAAAGAAGGCTTGATTATCTAACTCCTGCGTTGGCTGATAAGGTTTTGTTAGTACTTCATATCTTCTTGATGTAGAATAAAGTAGTTATCACTTTATCATTTAACAGACGTTGCTATCATTTGTGAAAAAATCTGTATAATGACAGGAATCATATATGGCAAAAATTGAAATTGAAAAAGACGAACTGGCTGATAAGTTAAGGCATGCAACCAATCAACTAAACGAAGTACAGGTGAATAAATACATAAAAGTTCTTAATTCCGTTGATTTATTAAAGAATCAGTTAAATTCATCAGTTAATTCATCAGTTAAATTATTGTTTGATACTGATATGTGAGTAGTTAAACCTTTTACTTCACATTTCAATATTTTAAGGATACATTTTTAAGTAAACTGGAAAGCTCCATTATTATCTTTACACTGAATTTACTGAATTTAAAAAGATCGTTGAAGAAGTGTAAGCAAATTATTTCAAGTTCAGTAAAATGATCATTTGTTACATTGAACGAATGCAAATGAATGTTATCAATGAGTAATGAATTATCAATGAATTGAAATAAATTTATTGATAACATCAATGTTCTGTGTTACCTTACAAATATTCCAATATTAAATCATTTCCAATATATCTTATTTAGATGACAATCGATGAAAAAAGTCGAGGGGAAAGAGCATTATTTAATGTTGAAGAAGAACGGAAAAATGAGACTAATCGATTGTTGAATACAATTCGACATTTCGAAAATATGCTGAAAGAAATGGAAAATAAGGAAACATCATTAATTGTTAGTGACAATTTACAATAAATGTATTTATAACAATAGCTGTAGAAAACTAAACTTATCATTTATTCTAAATTACTTCTTATAGTATCATTTTAACATATCATTTTAAATGACTAGGTGAATTAGGAAGGCGAAATAGTTCGATAGAATAGCTAAATTAGCATGTATTAAAACATTTGGATAGTAATTTGATGAAAATTAAATTATCTAAAAACTATAAACTTTATTGATAATTCATGAGATTATATGATGAGAAGGCCTTTTTCTTAGAATGATATTGCTTCAATGAAGCGTTCGTTGCGTGAAGAACAGTTAACAGCTAAAAAGGATAAAGCTGTTGCCGAAAAGGTAGCCTTTAAATTTTGCTTTTATCTTTGCTATTTAATTCTCAGATATTTGAAATGAAATTCATAAATTCTTTGAAGATGTAGCAAATGCGAAATGAAATTTATTCTTTTCCATCCCTTTTTAAATTATAGACCCTGGAAGAAAATAATGCTTTGATAAAAGAGAATTCACATTTGTCAGCAGAAATAACGCGGTTAGAAATGAGAGTGAGAACTCTCAATCAGCAAATTGATCATGCACAAGAGAAGGAGATAAAGCCAACGGAAATTGCTTCAGTTCGTTTATTTCCTAAAAATTTGAAGTTTGAGAAATCTGAATTTCAGGAATTTTGGTGATACTTCAAAAATACCATTTTTTTTAGAAAAATGCATTCTTATTTTATTCCGCTAAATAAATAATTGCAGATGAGAGAATCAGAAAAATCACTGAAGATGGAACTATTGAAGGCAGAAGAAAGGTTGAAAACAGAAAAAGAGCGTGGACAACGGGTCATCTTAGAAGTATGCTTTTGCATGATATGAATTTTAATGAATTCACTTTATTGCCAAAAAAATGCTGATGATAGTTCAATACTAAAAATTTGGAGACTTAATTCAGAACTTAATTCAGAATTCAAAACACTTATTACACCTTATGCGATAGTATTTAGCTGGAACAATATCGGAAGGCTGAAGAAGGCGCGAAGGAGTCTCGTGGAAGGATGCAAAAAGAATTGGATGCTTTAAAAGTATTATCTGAGTCACTGTCTAATGAAAACAGATCTTTGAGACAAGAAAAATTCATTCTTGCTGAACGTTGTGAGGAATTACTTAAAAAGGTATTTTATTCCTGATTCAATATTTTCGTTAATATCCGAACTCCTTTTCAAGTCTTATAGATTCTATGATCTTTCAAAGTCTTCTATTTGTTTGCAAAATTGAAATTTGTCACTTGCTTACTAAACTCGAGACTATCTAGCTTTTCTGTGAAATAATCAAATTTGAATCTAGAAAACTTTTTTTCAGGGAAATTCATTAACTGACAACGTTACGAATCTCACAACCGATGTTGAAAGTTTAAAGGAAATAAATTTCGATGTGCATCAAAAGGTAATTTTGTTCCACTGAAAGAAAAAACTAGATTGAAACTTTGCAAATTAATGAAGGAATCAAGCTGAAATATTACAGATGGATGAAAAAGCGAAGGAAGTAGAATATTTACAAGAGCAAAATCACGACTTACTAAGAAAAGTAAGCCCTGATAATTTGTACATTTTTCCTCAAATGAATATCCCGAATAACTGCTATTTTTTAACTCAGTTCGAGGATAATTTAATTTGAAAGTATATAAAGCAGAGAGTTTTTCCCTACTTGACGAAACTTCCGTTAAAACTGAAAAAAACACCGAAGAGTGAAATCAAAATTGGATGATATAAATTAAATAATTCAAAAGTCTTCATTCCATCATCCTCTGATGGATAATTTGTACATTTTTTCTCAAACAAATATCCCGAACAACTACTACTTTTTCAACTTAGTTCAAGGATAATTTAATTTGAAAGAATATAAAGCAAAGAGAATCTCCCCCATTACAAGTTATAGGTTAAAAATCATGAAAATGAGTTGCAAAAATGTAAAGAACGTTACGACAATATCGAAAGGAAGTATAAAGAGACATTTGAAGAACTCGAAAGGCAGATGATAATGCGACAAGAGAAGTAAGTTCCCCTATCCGACTATCATCCGACTTCAGATCAAAATGTACTCTGTTAATGATATTTGAAATCTTAAGGCAGTAATTGCGACTCGCTTCATTTGAAAACAAACCGATAAATGTGTAGTTTAAGTATTTCTTCGATATTGCTTCTTCGCGACATCGAAGAATACTCCATTAATTTCAGATCGGAAGAATATGAAAAATTGGCGAAACGTATATTAGAACTTTCCGATTCTGTAAGGGATAGGAAACCAGCATCCTCCAGTGCCCTAACCCACTCATCTAAACTGTCAACACCAGGGCCCAGCAAATCCTTTCTCAATCAGGTAATCTAATGTACTTGAGCATTATGGATAATTATGCTTTTTATGTTTCCAATAAGTTTCGACATAACTTAATCCCTACTGTAAAATGGTTTGGGGTTATCTTCTACTTGGTTTCTGAAGCAAGTTTTCCAAAGATTTGAACTAAGCAGTTTTATAGATTTTTCATAAACAACAATTTCTTCACTATTGGGAAATATTTCAGCCATCTCCCATTCCTGAACTATCAACAGCTGTTCAGCAGACCAGTAAACGAATTCAAACCAGTGAAAGGAAAATTCCTTAATTTTAATCGAATTTGACGCTATTTAAATCGGCAGCAACACCGCTGTAACTGCCATTAACTGATTCCTTACAAGTGCTAATTCCTTAGATTTATATTTTCTATTTCATTCCTAGCTGCTACAGCTCAATAAAACATTTTTTTATACGACTTAATTCCAAATAAACAGAAATCTCCATTAAAAGAAATTTAGAGTGAAAATCTCATAACATAAATCAACATAACACAAGCCTCCCTAACATTCGCCGGAAGCTTTTTTATAAGTATCCACAACGGTAATGAAGTGCAGATTTCGAGACCAATATTCTTTTCACTTTTCAAAATTCGACAGGAAATAAACAAGGCAGAAAGTATAGGTTGAAAATCATTATATATGCAGTAACACATATGAAATCTCGTTTCACAAACTTTTGTAAGCATTCACTGAAAGCTGTCTTATAAGCATCCGCAACTGCTTCTTTGGTATGACCTGAAAAGCTGATGTGAAACTTGATAGCATTTATGCAAATAAGAACCGAAAATGAACAGAGGAAGCATAGTTTCTCAAAAATGAAAGTTTTTGAAAATTCACTGAAGCTTTCTGTTGTGCACACAGACAGAAACAAAGTCGTTGAAATATATTTCGTAACCGTATGCATTATCAATAAAATAGCGAAATCGGGAAGGAAACTTACTTCTGCCAACATGTAGTCCTCATCAGCTAGTAATTCTACCAAATGTGCAGATCCATTTATATCGCTTTTTTCAAATAAAGTAACTAGCATAACAACAACTGCAGTGACATA